TGCTTTCCCATTTTCTATGTCTCCCTGCACACGAGTCAAATAGGCCGCCAAGTTGCACTGCATGTTTGGAGAGAGTGATCCTGGGTCCGTTGGGAGTGCTCTCGAGTCCAACACGGTCTCCAAAGGCACCTTGCCACCGAGGTCTTTCATGCTCGCAGGCGGCGGCAGGCCAGGCAAGCCTCGGAGGCAATCCCTCCTCAAGCCCCGGATCCACAAACGTTCCCGGTGCTGCGGGCAAAGCTGACACAGGTCATGCACTTCCACGGAGACAGCAAACATGGGGATGCACGCCCGCAGTCGCTGCAGCAGTTCCCGCAGATATGGAGTTCCACGCAGCCGGGGGCTGTTTTCCACAGCGAAGGCTAGCAGCTGACCCTGCCAAGCCTGAGCTATGATCCAGCCGATGCAGACATCCATGACCGAAGCTCTTGCATCAGCTGTGCCCTGCTGCTGTCCGGTTCCTGCCCATGGCTGGCACGGGGGGCCAGCCACAATGGCTTCCACGGGCAACAAGCTCTCCGGATTAACTTTCTCCACATCGCCGTCAGTGCCCAATCTCAAGGCTTGGACACCGCTAGCACCACAAAACCTCTGCAAGTTATTGTAGTAGGGAAGCAAGGAAGCTTCCGTGTCAAAGCCCTGTGTGGACAGGTACTGGCTTCCTGACAGCTCACACAACCGTCGTAGCCCTCCCAGTCCAACACAAGGCTCAGTCACCCTCAAAGGGCGGCCAAGAACCCGCAGCACTCGTCCGGCCCTGTAGCCGGCGATCTCTGTGTCCAGATGATCGTCGGCCATTGGCCGGCAGGCCGGTGCCCACCGGTCCTTCTTTCCAAAGGGGACGGTTCCCTTTCTAACTAGTTAGCTAACAAGCCACTGTGAGACAAATCTTGACGGGAATGCACCTTCTTGCCAAGCTGCAAACACAAAGGTTGAAACTGATCCGCAGAATGTGTGTTCAAGCATCAACCTTCTGCTAGCAGTCAGCATGTCAGACAAAAGGAAGCGGGGTGCTTCGCCACAGAGTAGCCGTGCGGTTCAAAGGGTCGAAAGAGAGGAGGAGACCCGCACGGTTGCCTCCGTCAAAGGAACAGCAAGTGGTGAGGCCGGCCGGCACGAAAGATCCCGCACACCGCCACCTAGCCATCAGGCCAGGTGGCGGTGGTGCTGGAAACTCAGCATTCAAGATGGCGGGGAGCAAATCTGGTGGTGGAAATGGTGGAAGCAATGAAAGGTGAGCTGACGTGTGTTTCTTTTTTCTCTTGCATGCCTGATGGTGTGCAACAGACCGCTAAGAGCAGCTGCATGACTCTCTCACTGCATGACTATGCATGATTCGTGCCTGAAGACTCGGAGTTCAAAAGTTGTGTTGTTCCGTGCATACAGAAGCTTCGCAGCTTCGCATTTGCAAGCATAGAGCAAACAGCATGCTATGTGTGACAACTGTGTGTGTTGTGTGTGAAGACTTTAGATACTGGTTCAACCCTCGCGAGCCAAACAAGCAGCAAAAGAACCTGGAAACAGTCTTGAAAAGGCAGGACAGTGGCGGGACAGTGGCGGGACAGCGGCGGGACAGCGGCGGGACAGCGGCGGGACAGCGGCTTTTGCTTTGCAACGTAGCGAGAAAGGTTCTTCGCTGACGTGGGCAACAGCTTCGCTTTCGAAACTGGTCGTCTTGTAGACGAGCAAGCCCTCCAAACTAACAACAGAAGTCCGAAAACGTGACGGCCGTTGCACCTTGGTGCCTAAAGTTGGCCGGTCCGCTGCGCTATGCAACGAACTTGCTAAGAGTAAAAAGTGTAAAAGTGGAAATGGAGTCCAAGTAAACATCTTGTATGATGTTGTCTCAGGCCCCAACCCCCGCGCGCGCGCGCGCGCGCGCGCGCGCGCATCATAATTTTGGTGACGTTTTGGCCCACTAAAACTGTACGAAAAGGTGGCCAAACGCACATCCATAGTGCTATACATGTGTGTGCCGATGCATGGTCACACAGAAATATGCTGGTTTGACAAGCTGGCCGATGCAACACAGAAGATTTGAGTGCGCAATGCCAATTTAGCTACGCGCAACCCTGAACTTGTGCATGCCCGTATTGCAAAATTTCACAATGTCGTGTGCACTGTGAGAACTAAGGGCAAACAAGAGTAAAAGAGTAAAAGGAAAGGAATCCCTGTTACAGTGAACCCCAGACGACATGCGAGATGCAATCTCGGTGAGTGCCACACCAGTTCGCTGGACGTGATCACCGGCTATCTGCTGGGCTCCTTCTGGTGGGAGTCCGGACATTTTGTTCTAGTCCCAGCAGCGCTTACCAATGAAGCAAGGACGAGTCCTCAGCGCGGCCATCTTAGGGGCCTTTCTTGTTTGGGCGCCAAAGACCATAACTGCATCCACAGCCTATGCAAAACCTGTCACAGCGCATGTGAGTCAGCTCACACGCGTGGACATTCAAAGGCTCAAAGCCAGAAATGAACATCACTGTCACAGCTGATTGCCCAAAAAGTTTGAGCTCACCCGCTTAGCACGGTGGGGCTCGAAAGAACGAAACAAGTGTTGTCCCATGGACCCCCGAAAATCATTAAAAAGCGGCAGAAACGAATGAACGGAAGAGCATCGGCCAAGCAAACGAATTATGGTTCACACTACCACTCGAGCGGATCACTGAAAGTGAGCCTGTAGCAGTTCTCCGAGCGAGACTGCGGGCTTTGAGATAGGCCTCAGAGGCTCATCATCACCAGAATCCGCAATTTCTGGGACATCTTCGGTGCCTGATGGTACCTGGCGACGGACCAAGTGCATGTCTGCTACATCAGCTCTCACTGCCCATATGAGGAAAGTATCCAGGACCTCGCGAAGTACTTGTGCATGCGTCAGTGGCCTTGAGGATCGCGCGTCATCACATAGATAGACCTGTTGATGAGTGTATAGCAGCGCTTGATAGTGTCCTGCATCGCGCGTTGATCCGCGCCGTAGCGCAGTGGCCACTACGATGTAGGACTGCCACACAATCAAGTGCTCACGATTATCTATGCCAGGAGCCTGTGTGAAAACGGGCATACGAAGTCCGCAACCTGGGATGGCAAGTTCAGCGCACGCTCCTTCCACTAGGGTAGGTGCGTCGCCCACCTGGATGCATATGAAGTCGGCCTGAGCAGCCAGCGCATGCAGTCCGTCCATGCATGCATGCCAATGTCGAATGTGATCCTGTAGTGAGGCTCCCTCGGAAAGAACAGGCAGCATGATAGGCGTGCAATCTGAGGTGATTGTTTCACCGTCGCGTCTTTGTTGCCATGAGCCAGGCCACTGAGGAAAGAGCTGGCATTGGAGCCCCCACTGATAAAATTCAGCAGCATCGTGCTGAAGCCCGTATGCATGACCACATTCCCAATCAGTAAGTGCGTTTTGAAAGATTGGGATATCATACACTGACGCTTTCCATTCGAAGTGGTCAAGCACCTGTAACATACCCCGAAACCATGTGTGCAATGCCCTCGCTGAAGGCAAAGAGGCAATCACCCAAAGATGAATGATCAGCACCGCATTCATGTAACAGCAGTTACAGTCATTGAAGAGCCGTAGTTCGAGGACTTCATGTTTTACTTCGGGCCGAATACACACTTGGAGATCTGTTCGCTCAGCTTCGACCTCTTCAGATTCGCCGGGCGCATCTGGCACATGAGGAGCTGCGTAACACTGTTCCCCACCAGTCGCATCAGATGCTGCCAAAGCTGCTGCGCTCGTTCGTGGCGTAGGGAGACATCCATCTTCCAAGGCACGATGATGGTTGGGCTTTTCAAGTCCAAACTCTTGAGCGCTTTCAAAGCTTTGAACTGGTTGATCATCTCTGGCAGTTTGACTAGTTCCGCAATGCTCGCGATCATTGAGACCATTTCCGTCATTGGAATGGGGGTCTTCGTTGTTGGCTTGAGTGACTTGCTGGATGCATCCCAGGCCATGAAGACCCACGCTCCATCTGCATTCAGCACGCCCTTGTCCCGTAGCCCCTGCCCGAGCTCCGTTTGAAGATTGGCCTGGACCATTTCCACTCTCGCGGAAAGCGCACTCCAAAAGTTGGACGCCATGCGTAAGCGAAGAGGAGCATCCACGGTGTTGTTCTGAACTTGCCGATGCCAAGCTGCCGAGGTCTCGACCAACGTGGGTAGACAGGAGCCAGCTCCAGCTTGGATGAACAGGATGATCTCCGTGTTGAGGGACATCGCCTGAAGGGTGGCCTCTTGTCTCAAGATTAAGATCGTCAGGAGTCGGATGATCTGCCGCATGTCCTGTGGATCGTGAGCGTGATCTGCTTCGAGACGGCGTTGATCGTTTTGTCCGCGAGGTCGCTTGCCAGGCGGGGCCCGAGATGGTGTCTGCCGTTGCTGGGGCGTTGGAGCCTGCGACACGAGCTGGCGGAGCATTGGAGAGCCTGAAAGGACTGAGCCTAGGGATTGAAGTAGCTCTTCGTGGCTTTGCTCCGTTCCCACTCCCATCATCGGGTCCATGAGCTGATCCGCGGCAGTCGTGAGGCCGTTGTTGACGAAGAGCGGCGCCCCGGTCATGATGGCTATCAGTTTCGGCAATCTTCCCTGCAGGTCGAGCCAATGAGTGCTGCATGTTATCCAATGTCTGTTGCGTCTTGGTGCCATGCTTCAGATAGTGCTCAGGAAACACACAGGAGGGCATGATAGCCCCACATTTCTTGCATTTCACTGTGCCCGGAACGGTCTTACTGCATTGAGCCCTGTACTTCGTCGGACCATTGCGAAGATGTGCTCGAAGATGCGCCTGATTCGAGAAGCATCGATGACAATGCAGACACAGATGTTTGACATCAGCGGATGGTTCACCTGCAGGGGCTGCTGAGGTATTCATCGCTGAAGAGGTGACCTCATCAGGAGTCGCAGTGGATGGGCTCACAGTAGCGACCTCCACGGCAGCAGCATGTAGGACTACGGCGCAGACGTGAGTAGTCTTGCCCTTCACATACTCCCCGCAATATTTACAGGTACCTTGCCCGTGTGGCGCGATGTGTGCTCGGTGCAAGTGCTCAGAAAGAGTCAGAGCCTTGGGTACCAGCTCCGCGTGACTGTACCCAAAGTGCTTGCGAAGCCCTTTCAGTGTACATATCTGTCCACATAACGCGCATGCTGATCTGAGCATCTGCAAACTGCGCGAGTCCTGTAGGAGTCGAACGGCGCCGCCATCATGTAGAAGTCCAAGCGTGGCCTCCTGCTGCGCATAGGGAAGTTGAATGGCAGCAGCATTGGGGTCGAACATCGGACAGGCTCTTGCATTGATGTGTTGCATAAGGTTCGTCTTATTGCGAAGGCGCAGTCCACAGTGTGCGCACGTGGAGCTTCCCTTCAATGCATCACGCACTGGATCGAAGATAGGCTGGGTATCGCAATGTTGTCCATGCGCATCTCGTTGATGTCGCTTCAGTGTGGCTTCGGTGCGAAAGCTACGGGCACATGTGGGACACTCGAAGCGCTGCTCATCCTGATGAGTGACTTCTTGATGTAGTTTGCAAATCTTCTCAGCGCGGTCACGGTCCTGCAGAAGCGTACTGTTAGGCCACTCGCTCGAATGTACAAGGTCGTCAGGTGGCAACTGCGCCTTTGCAGCCTGAGCTTTGCGAAGTCGTTGTAGTAGCATGTCCCTGAGTGCAATCCAAGGTAGTGGCTTACCCAAGCGAGTGTACAATTCTATCGTGGTAACAGGCCTCAGGTGGTAGGCTCGGCAGACAACGATGCGAACATGTTGAGCAGCAGTTTGATGGACTTTTCGCAATGCATATTCATCGACTCCAAGTTCGAGGATACCGTATGTTAAGGTAGACCAAACACAGACATCGTAGAGGCGCAATCTATCCTGAAGAGCGTGACACCTGCGATCACATAGCACCCGCCTGAGCCTGGAGAATGCAGTGCGAGCCGCTTGCACTCTGCGATCAACAGTGTCTCGCTCGAAGCGATGATAGCTAATGATCACTCCGAGATAGCTTGTTTTACTCACCAACGATAGATCACGCTTGGTGCCATCCGGCATGGGACATCGAATCACAGGTCCGGTTTTGAGTCGCCGAATGTAGGTTTGTTGAAATTGTTGAAATCGAGTTCCCGCGAAGGACATCATGACGACTGATTTGTCGTAGTTGATGTTAAGCTGCATAGCCTCAAGGCAACTCAAGACCTGTCCAAGTTCCCGGAAAATGCGATCAGCATGATGGCCAGTCTTGTGCACCCAACATATGTGCATGTCATCAGCATAGATTGTGAGATGCGCCCGGATCCACGACCACCCTAGCTTGGAGGCAAGCTTCTTTAGTACCCCCAGTACTACCAGATTCCATAACAGAGGGGCATCTTTCGCCCCCTGTTTGATACCTCTGTGAGCCTCGAGACTGCATGAGATACCCTTGTGCTTGATGGTGTATTCGCCGGAGAGAACGCTGCTTTTCAGGCTCGTGGCCAGATCAGACGGCAGTTGAGCTTCATCAATGCATTGAAGTACGAATGGGCGGCTAACCAGGTCAAAAGCCTTCTGCAAATCAAGTGCCACTTGCACCCCACCAGCTAATGCTGCTTTGTCTTTGCGCGTGCGATTGTGCTCACGTGTTCGCGTGCAAAGTTCACGCACAAGTCTGCAGTGCTCATACACTCGCAACAGACACTGACTGGTGGAGCGATGTGCAAGATACGCGAAGCAGGGAACTTCACTGAACATCGGGGTGATGAGCTCACTCGCCTGTCTGGTCACGACACCTGAGAGAACTTTGCTACAAGGATGTTGCAAGCATATCGGTCTGAGGTTGGCAGGCTTGGTCGGCGGCTTCGATGGTTTGCCCAGAAGAGCCAGGTGTCCTGCAATCCAGCGCTGAGGGAGTCGACACTTGTCACGACACCATAGATGCTGAAGTTCTTGATGTAAGATGGGCGCAATAAGCTGAGCTTGACTCCTCCACATCACCGCCGGCACTGCTGTGGGAGTCAGGGCCTTGTGAACAGGTAAACGTCGCAATTCTGCACACAGGTCATCAGCACTGAAAGGTAGTTCATCTAGTCGTGGCAAGTCATACATGCGAAAGCTGTTATCCTCATAGAGCCGACTGTAGTAGTCGCGAAGAGTGTTGAGAGAGTCCTCGGGGCCCAGCGAAATTCCTCGGTCACTGCGAAGATGAATCTTCGTACGAGCCTGTTTGGGACATAGGAGAGCAATTTGACGATACCAGCTGTACATGTCCTTCTTAACGGCACACTCTGCAGTCTCACTCAAGAAGGTGTGGAGTCGTTGCTTGCGTATCTCCTTAGAGCGAGCCCTGAGTTTGCGACTGATGGCTTGAAAGGCCGATCGAAGATGCCAGCCTCGAAAGACCGCACTCAGAGAGGCTCCGTGCTGCTGTTGTAGTGCCTTCCGCAAGGCCCACATCTGCCTGGTCTGCCCCACGAGGTCCGGCTGTTGAAAGGGCTTTGGTGTCCGTTCCTGCCGTCGCACCGGGAAATGTTTAGATACACAATCCTTCATCACCGCCTCAGCCTGCGCAACACAGCACTCCGGAAGATCACGAAGTCGAGATTCGACCTCTTGCTGCATGTTATACCACTGGGGAGTGTTGTCTCTACAGGCTGCGCAAAGCTCTTGACGCAATCTCGCACTGTAGACCAGCTCGGAGGGCTGGGGCTGCCACGGAGTCCACTTGGCCGGTATGGAGCCGGCTAGTGGTAGATGCCGAGAACCTTGCCGATAGCATGCAACAGGAAAATCTCGTTCATGATGCACGCGTCGGGCTGTAAAATCTGCTTGAGGTGTACGTGTGCACGCGAAGTCGATGCGGCTCTGGTGGGAGCTCTGGCCTCGAAACTCATAGGTCGGCTGCCAGCCGTGCCATGTGTTGAGCGCCACAAGCTGGAAATCATGTAGACATGTGTGTAGCCTATCTCGGTCTCCAAAGCGCTGGCAGCTGGGAATTCTTTGATGTGCATGTGCAGGTCCAACATGACCCCGAAGAGGCTCGCAATCAGTGTTGAAGTCCCCTAACAAAAGCGTGATAGCTCTGCTCGGGCAGAGCTTCAGAACCTGTGTCAGTGCGTCCCACACCTGTTTGCGTTGCGAGACACAAGTCGGTTTGGCTACATCCCACACATGCTGATAAATTCCAATGATATTGATGGTAGTACTTAAATGCAGACGTGCATGAATCAAGCGTCCCTTGACCACTTCACTCCACGAGAGCCTGTCCGGAGGGCAGCAAGCATGGGCCACCATGACGAGCACACCCGCATGTTTGTGGCCTGTGTGTACACAACTCCAGCCTGGGACCTCCCACTCGGAACTGAAACTCATGCGCGTCTCAGAAATAATGAGCACATCATAGGGCGCTGTTGAGGCCCAAATCATAAACTCATCATAAGGCAAACCGCCCGCATTCCAGACCAAATATCTGAGCCGTGGTTTGGGAGGGCGAGGCCTACGGGTCAAGGAAAAAGTGGATGCAAAAATCGCAGCTCGTGTCTTGACGTCCGCCGGCTGTTCTGGCGATGATGATGTAGCAACTTGCTGCTGGTGAAATGCACTCGGAACATCAGATGCCGAAAAAGTTCTGCCCTTGTAAGTGGTAGAGCCCTGAACCAGCGCTCTCTTGCATGCACGATTAAAAGAACGTTTGAGGATCTTCTGTTTGTTGGAGGAGGTAATGAGACCGAAGTCTCCTTGAGCCCATACTCCATGATGCTTCGTGGCACAGCTTGTATCCACAATCTTGATGTCTTGAGCCACTTCGGTGACCTCCATGGCGAAGCCACCACCCTCGTGCCCACCACAAAGTCGAAAGCTATAGAGCAATAAGATGCTCCACACGTACATTGTGGTGCTCGGACTTGGGACCGAGCCGAGCAATTGAGATGTATGTCCTAGTTGCTCGCCTTGACAATCAGCCAGAATCTCCTATATGCAGATGCCCTCACTGAAGCAACAAAACAGAAATCGAAATCTCTTCTGTCCACAGCAGCTTTCGAGAAATTGCCGGAGAGAGGCGCAGTCAAGTATGTGTGCAATTCTTCAGTCCACCAAGAAAATGGCAGTTGAAACCATGCAGCTCAGACTAGGATCAATCTAGATTTGAACCGCTCGTGGCACTTGGGACAGCGGCGGGACAGCGGCGGGACAGCGGCGGGACAGAGGCGGGACAGTGGCGGGACAGTGGAGGGACAATGGCGGGACAGCGGCGGGACAGCGGCGGGACAGCGGCGGGACAGCGGCGGGACAGCGGCGGGACAGCGGCGGGACAGTGGCGGGACACCGGCGGGACAGTGGCGGGACACCGGCGGGACAGTGGCGGGACAGTGGCGGGACAGTGGCGGGACAGTGGCGGGACTTTTTGACTTTGGTTCGCAGTCGGAGTCCTTTCCCGCTCGACTAGCGTGGGCCTGGCGATGACTATGCACTGCCTGCCGTCATGGACGGCGCCCCCCTACAACGTAGCCGCCCCGGAGGGCCCTACGAGGACCGAAGTCCACCCAGGCTCTGATCACAGGGAGGAGAAGGAAGGGAGCGAGGGGAGAGAGAGAGAGAGAGAGAGAGAGAGAGAGAAGAAGAAAAACGGAGAAAAGGAAAGCAGGAGGAGATCAGAGCCAGACCTGAAACTGCGTGAAACTGTAAAAGTCTGCGTTCTCGCGCTTAGAGAATCTAATGGCCGAACATGGCCCCAATCGCCTCACCAAGAGCTTTTGTCCCGGTGAATCTAGGACGCTGCTGTGCACCATGGCCTCTCTTCAGCCTCTTGCGTGCAGCATCTCTCTCGCTAAGCTTATGCGCCTTCTCACTGTTGGAAATTTTTGCAGGTACTTGTGGCGAGGATCCCTCAGCCTGTTTGGTGAGAGGATTGTGTGAGGTCCAATACATTGTCAACGTTGGCTGAGGTGGACGGGAATCAACATCGCTGGCAACCTTATCTGGTGCCATAGGGCAATGTGGCGAGGATTCCTCAGCCTTGCGCGCATCACACCTCAGGGTTGCGGCTTCGGCGGGCAGTTGATGTTGTTGCCACCGCTGCGATGGAGTCAGGAGCTGACTGCGTTTGCGAGGCATAGGCTTACTCGTCTTGGTATTTGTGTCATCGTGCGCCCTAGTAGACCTCTGACGTTTGCAAGATGCAACTTTGTTGATGTTGTCAACCTCCAGCAGTACTGACCCGAGTGTCGTTGGCTGACGGTCTTTGGACGAGGATTCCTCAGTCGTGGATCGCAGTTGTGGCGGAGTGCCGATTGATCCTCCTTGCTCCTTCTGAGCTGTATTGTCTTCAGTCGTCATCCCCTGCCGAGGGCCGCGCCACCTCTCCATTGCCACGTCATCGGACTCAGGTCGAGCACCACTGCCTGCAGCGTGTGGTGGCGCAAACCCGCCGTCAACAAGAGTGGATTGTCCCGGACTGCACACGTCTACCAGAGGTCCGCCCCTCACATGCGCTGTCATGTATGGGTTGATTCCGCTCTCCAAGGATTCAGGGCTCATCACATCGTTGCACGGCGCAACCGCTTGCACTAAATGCCCTGTTGCATCCAAGTCTAGACCCTCAGCGACTGGCTCATCAATGCCTTCACTCAGTAGATCGTTCGAAGAAGAAGGCACTAACCAGATGCCATAGAGTGCGTCCGAGTACCAGCTGTGATACCGTCCTAGACTTGGTGGCTGGTCATCGTTTTTCAACCAAACATAAGGCGACCCCAACTCAAACAGCAATGTGGTGTAATGTCCCGTCTCACGGGTTTGACCGTGTCGCAGCAGGACCGCAGTAATGCGATACTTATGCCAGCGCATAACCGGGGGATCCGCAGTGCTAAGCATGTCAATTTGCGGAATGAGCACAAAGGGGTGGTTTGGATCGACGATTACATTGGCATGTTGGTCGTGACAAGTGTCCCTCAGAAGCATGAACAGTCCCCGGTCTGCTTGAAGAAGCGCCTGATAGGAATCGGAGCCGAATGACCAGGCTTGAACATGTTCCTGCAGGCTACCCGGGCGCTTTTCTAGAAGCGGGGGGATTAGAATGGACCCTTGTTGCAGCGTCTTCACTCCGGTGCTCTTCGACAACATGATCCAGACGGAGGGTTGGTGCTTTTCGCTCAGATGTGTGCGCAACCAGTCGTAAAACTCTCCAGCATCCTGCTGGAGTCCCCAGCCCCGCCATTCACTCATATGATCCCGTACAGGTTGCCATTCAAGGACATGAGTGAATAATCCCCAGTCACACCGCATGTCTGTGGTATGTCCCCGCGAGGATGCCTCAAGCAAGGAGTGAATGGACCACAAGTGGCCATTCACGATGGCATTTGCGTAGCACATATTGGCGTTGTTCACCAACCTTAGGTCGATGATTGATCTGCCAGAGTGGCTGCCTGCCTCATTGTTTGGAGTACCAGTCCACCTGGACGAGGAGTCGCCGGGCGCATTCTGGTCATCGCCAATTGCGTGACTCCGTTTCTGCAAAGCTTGGTCAGCACCTCCATTAATCGGAACGATTGAGGATGTCGCAAGCTTAGCTCGAGGCGCCACGGCACGACCAGCGCAGGATCCTTCTCCGGTGTCTGTACGAACTTGAGTGCCTTGAATGCCGTGAATCGTCTCAACATGCCCTCCAGCTGAAGTAACTGCTGGGCTTCCCTTAGGTGCTTTTCCGCATCCGTCATCGACAGACCGTCTGTCTGCGACACAATCTGCTTTTGCTCCTTCGGTGACCATTGCAGATACGCCCAGTTTAGCTCGGAGTCGAGAATCCCCAATCCTTGTAGGACTTGCTGTCGTGCCAGATCGGTCTTGACTTTGACCACTCTGTCTATGATGGTGTCCATGAGCGTCTGGACCATGATGCATTTGAGGGGCTTCTGGGCCCCTTCCTCGGACCCCACCTTGGAGTGCCAGTCCTCTGATGTCACGATCATCTGAGGCAGCGGTGAGCCCTGCCCTCCAGTGACGAAGAGCATAAACTCCCTGTCGACTGCAAGACTCTGGATCGAGGCCTCGTGTCTCAGCAAGATTGTTGCAAAGTTCTTCAGCACCTGGTGCATGTCCGGCTTGATCTCCATCCCGTTGTGATTGATGCCTGTGACACCGGAGGGGCGGGATGGTGTCTGAGTCTTGCCTGTGTTCTTGCCCTTTCCCTTGCCCTTGCCACTGTTGTGCTCCGGTTCTTGTCGTTGACGCTTGATTTTCGGCCCCGCTCCTGTCAGCAGATTTGGGGTCGAAGCAAACCCCAATTGCGCCATCAAGTCCACATGGGATTGATCTGGCATGTCGTCGTCGTCCATCTGATACGTGCTGAAGGTCATGCGGCTTAGGAGTGGCAGTTACCGTGGCAGGCGTCGCAGGCTTTGAACCATGCGCTTGATAGTGCTCGCGGAACTGACATGCATGCATTTCCATCCCACATACCTTGCAGCTGACCTTACCCGTGGAAAGGGTCCGCGCCTTCGCACGGGTAGTAGAATCCTTAGCAGCATGATGCTCTTTGAGCTTGACCGCTGAAGCGAATCGCCTACCGCATTTTTCACACTCATGGGGATCACTGATTGGCATCTCTTCTGAGGTGCAGTACTTGCGTGCGAGAATGCATGCCACCTGCGTCAGGATGTGGCATTTGTGAGCTGATAGGTCTTTGACACGAGTGTTACACAAAGGGCAAACCGCATTCTGCTTCTGCCAGTGCTGCTGTCGGATCATGGCATTCAACTGTGTGTTGATCGGCTCTTTGCACTCGCCATGTTCCTTGTAGATGTGGTTTGTGATCTGTCTGGCGTGCAGGCGCTGATTGCAGAAGGCACAGTGATACCATGTGAGAGGGTGTTTTGCGACAGCCTTAATCAGTGCTGTTATTTGGCCGTCGTCCGCAAGTCTTTTGAGATTCTGGTCCGTGGCCATACTCGGCCCATCCGGCTTGTCCGGATTGAACTGTGCACAGGAAGCCGTTTCAATGTGCCTGCGGAGATTAAGCCGGTTGTCGAGTGTGATTCGGCAGTGATTGCACTGATTACTTCCGCTGTACGCATCTCTTAACGGTCTGAAGGGTATGAGGTCATCACATTTCATCTTGTGCTCACTTCGCCTGTGATGCTTCAGCGCTGTTCTCGTGAGGAACACCTTCTTGCATTCGGCACACGGAAAGAGTGTGCCTGCCTGATTGTCATGCTGTGCGGGGGGAGCTTCCGTGGACGAGGATACCTCAGTCCTGACCGCAGTCCTTCGTTCTGCTGGTGGTTGATGTCGCACCTCTTCCACCGGGGCCTGAAGATGGCATACAGTCATAGCTTCAGTCGGGTTGTACAGAAGATCGCAGGGCGGAAGCATTTCCCGACATGACAGGTCATCCTCAGCCATGTGTTGCAGTAGACCACTTCGACGCTGATTACATTGTGAATGCATGTGTTGTATCCTCTGCCACGGATAAGGGATGCTTAACCTGGCGTATAGAGCGCAAGTGTTCTCCTTGGTAATGTGCACATGCGAATCAGCAATGGCTCTAATGTGTCTAGTGCAGAGTTTATGTACTGCCTGAAGCTCATGAGAACTCAGACCAGCTTCGAGCACTCCATATGTGAGCGTGGGCCACACACATGAGAAATACAAATGCATCCGCTGTTTGAGACTGTGCGTGCGCTTACTGGTAAGAACGGCTCTAAGCTGCTGAAATGCCACCTTAGCTGCTGTTACACGTCTCTTTAGGGTTAGCCTGCGATGCGACGAGTAGCTGAGCACGGCACCCAGGTACGATTGGCTAGCCTGCATGGGTAGCTCAATCCTGGTCAGATCCGGGCACTGCACTTGCAAAACCGGTCCAGTTGGCCGGCGCCTGTGATACTTGGCCAGCGCAGTTCTGGCAGCCTGCCCAGTCAGCTTCACCATCACAGTCGTTTTCTCCAAGTTGGTATCGAATCCTAGCTGTTGTAAGGTTTCAAGGATGATGCCGACTTCCCTGACGGCACGGTCAAGTTCCGCTTGACTGTGGATCGTCCACAAGAACAGCTTATCATCAGCGTACACGATGACATGTTGTTGTATCCACTCTAAGCTGAGCTTCTGTTCAAGAACTCGTAACAGTGCAAGAAGGATGACATTCCACAACAATGGCGCGTCAGTCGCGCCCTGCTTGACGCCTCGCGTGGCTGGAATGCGTGCGCTCTGACCCTTGTGTTCAATCAAGTAGTCTCCCTCCATGCAGCGGATGAGCATCGTAATATGCTCGTCAGCTAACAGCGTGCGCAAAGTTTGAAGCAGGAGTCTGCGGTTCACTTTATCAAAAGCCTTGCTAAGATCTATTGACAAAGATATGCCCCCAACGACCTGTCCCTTCCGCTTCCTGGCCTTTGTAGTGGTGGCGCACATCGCCTGGACGGCCTCGCAATGGCGAAACGCACGAAGCAGGCAATCTGTCGTCGATCTGTGCGGCATATATGCGTAGATAGGGAGGTGCCGAATGGACTGATACACTTGCTGCCGCACCTGCTCCGTCGTCAGACGTGCGGCGATTTTGCACACAGGATGTTGCAGGCAGATAGGCCGCAGGTTCTCCGGCAGGGCTGCCGGTTTGTTCGGTTTTGGGAGAAGAGCCATCGTAGTGGTGTGCCAGTGATCCACCGTGCGCACTTGATCCCCTACCCACGCTTCCTGCATCGCTCGGGCAATCAGTGGCGCCAACTGCCCGGCGCAGCATTTCCACAAGATTGCAGGCGCTGTCTGAGGCTTGAGGGCTTTGGTAGCTGGCAAGGCAGCGAGCGCACCCTCAATTTGCTGTTCGTTAAATGGGAGCTGCCGCAGGGGTGAGATGCATGAGCGTTCGTGTTGGGGCTCATGGTACAAGGCAGTGAAGTATTCTTGCAGTGCTTTGATGGATTCCTGTGGTGAGAGGGGATTGCCCTCTTTAGTTTTCAAGTGAATCTTGGGATGTCTATCTTTCGGACAGATTTGTCGAATTCTTCTGTACCACAGGTGGATGTCATGCTGCAGTCCGCACTGAGCCGTACTCACGAGGAAGTGTTCGAGATTCTGTCTCTTGTACATCTTGGCCTGATGTCTGAGCTGCTTACTAGCCTTACGGAATCGTACCATGTTAGTCCAGACCTCCCAAACCGACTTGATCGACATCATGCGCAATCGTCTGATGTCCCGCCAGAGTTCCCAGACTTGTCTGGTAGCAACTTGGTACGGCGCCTGCTGGTGCGCCTTTTGAAGGTCCGCCAGCAGCGCGGGCATGCGACCATTGGAGGCCTGCACCAAGATGCGCTCTGCATCATGCAAATCTGTTGCTGAGGCAAGTCGGGTATGAAGAGTTGTCAATAGGTCTTGCCACTCCGGCGTGTTGGCTCTGCAATGATCGCGGAGCAAGCGGCGTGTTCTGGCAGTGCAGCGTTGATGCTTGGGAGGCGTCACATGATGACGCTCATGCCTGATCGTGCCCGATAGAGGTAGATGTCGAACTCCCGTGCGATGCCCTGCAAGCGGCCAGGAGTGATCATGTCGGACAGCTTTGGCAGTCCTATCCGCTAATCGGCTCCAGGTGATGGCATAATCTATTCTGGTGCCTTTATGCCTGTCAGTAGCCGAACCAACGCAGGTGGGTTGCCATCCAGAAAAGGTGTTCAGGGCACAGAGGCAATGCCTTTCAAGAAACTCCCCAAGCTCGGAGTGATCCGGCTGGGGCTCACGGGTTTCATGATGAGGGTCTACAGATCCCACGTGCGCAGTTGTATCGGAGAGGCTAGTATTGAGGTCTCCCAGGATCAAAAGCGTATCCCTCGCCGAGCATTGGGCAATTCCATGGCTTAGCTTCTTGAGGGTGAGTTGTCTCTGGTTTAAGGTGTTATGCCCAGTGTAAAGTTTTTGGTATACGGCGAAGACGTTTAGGACATGTTTTTGATGCACCCGTACATGTAGCAATCTGCCTGGAACGAGCTCACGCCAGGTGAGAGAGCTGGCATTGCAGAACTTCTTGGAAATTGCAACCAAAACTCCAGCATTCTTGGCACCACTATTGATTAGATAATGCGTGGCAGTCTCCCACTCAGCGGTGTGTTGCATACGTGTTTCCGCGATGACCTGAATGTCATAGTCGGACTGCGCAAGCCAGACCATATACTCCTGATACGGGAGCCCGTCTGCGGTCCAGACATGATAGCCCATGCGGGTCTCCGACTGCTGAGTCGAAGAGTGGAACTTAGCCTTGGTGGCCTGTTGATGTATGTAATCTTGAATAGACTTCGGCACCATGCTGGGTGTGATGTACTGTTGTTTGTACTTCGCGGATCCCTTGATGAGTGCGGTGGTGCATGCCTTAATGTATGCCTTCTTGGCGTGTTTGATAGGCTCGGTAGCCGCACTTGCTGCAGGAATGGGGTGAGCAGCTGTTGTTGCAATAAGTTGGGTTGCCAGGACTAGCATGACATCCACCAGCACTCTACGACCGGCTACTTGACATGGTTGCCGCACGCCCACGCGAGTTCGTCCTCCGTCCTTGGAGCGCCGTTGCGGGGTGATGGATGTCTCGCCTTGGCAGTGTACACAACAAGAGGCTGGCACTTTGGGTCTAGAGATGCAGAAGGGCGGGGTATAGGCAACAAATCGGAATGTTAATTGGGGGCGCTGACTGAAAAGAGGTCTGATGAGGGGCTGGATTACTTGCAGGAGCTGAAGTCTGCGATACAGAAGTGGTACGGGGTCACGCCATGGGCACATCCAGAGCACTCTCCAGGCCCGCACTAGCCGACGGTTCCAGCGTATCCAGGATCGGCTTGTTTTGCGCTTGGCGGTGCTTCGCACCCACCTGAGACGTTTGGAGACACGCCGTCCCCAGTCAGTGATGTGTTCAGGATAATGCAACAGACAAGTCGAGGATGCCTCAAGACCAGTCTGATGAGTGTGTGCTACAGGCAGCGATGCATGTCGATAACGAGCAATTACGTGTGTGGCAAAGTTGCGCGGCTCACACCAACTCTGACGGTTCTGCTGAGGAGTGCCAGCCGAGTCTTGAACGTTCCGTCGTTTCCTCCGCCAAGAATCCTGATTGCAGCGATGGCTTGCACTTGAATTAGGCATGGTTCGAGAAGAGTGTCTTGTGACCCATGCAGAATAAGAAAGGCTACGTCGTTGGGAGGCTTCTTTTGTGGCCCTGTTCCCCTGGCTTCGTCCCTCGTTACTACCGTATGGGACTCGAGGATAAGCAGCGGACTTCGGGCTTCCTGGGGCAGGAACGCCCACCCTCACACCCCTGATCACCGGGTAAGCAACATCAATCCGCGCGTTTTGGTGATCAGGCCCGGACTTGGGACCGGGTCGGCTC